ACGGAGAAGCGGTCACCCCGGCTCACCGGCCCATCTGCTTGCCCTGGCACTGCTCAGGACGGCCTCACTGCGCCCCTCGATCCCAGCGGGCTGTGGTCTGCCCCGGGCCTTTGCACATGCACTTCCTCCTGCCTGGACCCCACCAACACCGCACACCCCGCAGGAACCGGCTGCTCCTGCTCCTCTCTCGCGCCTCTACTCAAAGACTCAGAAGAAACCACAGAAGTGGCTGGGGGGCTGCCCCGTCCGCTCTGTCATTGCCCTGGCACACGCGCCCTGCCGCCCCCACCCCACTGACTCCTCTGGGCTCCTCCGTGCTGCCCGCCTCCGCTTGTAGAGTGAGCCAAAGGAAGCGAAGTGGAAGGAGGGGGGCCTTGCGCCCAGGATTTGGGCGTCTTCCTCTCACCAGCCTGCAGCCGGACCTGTGCAGCCCAGCTGATCTTTCTCCCCGCTGGTCGTCAACACCTCTCTCTCCCTCTCTCTGGCGCTTCCTAAGAACTGCGCCCAGCCTCTCGCCTCGAGACCTCACCAGCCCTTAGTTGCCCAGGAGGCTGAAACCCAGACGGCCCAGAGGCCCAGCCGGAAGCGGAAGAGCTGAGCCCAGACACGCCTGGCAAGCGCTTGCCTGAGGCCCCAGCGGGTTTGTGTTTCTCCTACAGAATGGAGGCTTTGCTTTTCTCTTTTTGACTCCCAGTCTCCTTCCTTCTCTTCCTTCCTTTCCAACTGGCGATTGAACCCAGGGCCTTCACACTGATCTACATCCCCGGCCCTTTTTATTTTGTAATTTTGAGGCAGGGTCTCACCGCGTCTAAATTGCCCAGGCTGGGCTCAAACTTGGGGCCTTCCTGACTCAGTCTCCCCGAATGCGGGGGTTACAGGCACGCAGCACCATTCCCAGCCGAGAATGGAAGCTTTCGGCTTTAAAAACCTCAGATTGGAAGGTGAGCGGCCTTTGCTGCTCCCCCTTGGCAACTGAATGTGGCTGCGAGGATCCAAAGCAGTCAAAATATCCAGGCCTTTGGAACCCCTTTGCTCGAAGTGGCCTTAAGGGAGTGGTTTAAACTGTAACTTAGGTTGTAAGAACGGTGGCTCAAAGATGCCCCTTCTGGTGTTATTTATAATGGGAAAACCAGCTCCACTTGATTTTTGGGGAACCTTTGCAGCCTTTGTTGCTCCAGGCCCTGAATTGCTTTTTCTTGGTCTTTGGCCTCATTTAAGCAGCTTTACAGATTCTCCTGAGTTGGGTTTACCGTGAAACAGTCAACAGGAAGCAGGTGTTAAGTCAAATTGTGTGGGAGTAGTCAGTCTGCATTTTGCAGTGAAAAAACTCAGCAGAGGCCAAAAAGGAACGAATACAGACATCTTCTTCTTCTTCTTCTTTTTTTTTTTTTTTTTT